AACATAATCCTAAGATAGACTGGAAAGAGTCGAAGTTGACCTTTGAAAGATGTCCTGAAGAATGTAAACCGAGAATCCGAATCTCTGATCCAGAGGAGGATCCGGAAATATTCTTTGAGGAACTAGGAGAAGACGAGAGGATGATACAGGTAAACCTCCATAATTTCGAAGATGCCACGATCGACGATCAATATTACCATATCAGAGCCCAAGGCACAATGGCACAGAAGCTGGCAGAAGCCGCAGGCAAAGATCGAAAAGAAGGAGGATTCGAAAAGATAGTGCCAAGACACCTTCATCAATACAAAGACGTATTTGATAAGAAGGAGTTTGACACATTACCTGAAAGAAGACAATGGGATCACGCAATCGAACTAATACCGGGAGATCACTCCCTAGATTGCAAGATCTATCCATTGGCAAGAGGAGAGCAAGAAGAACTAGATGTGTTCCTAAAAGAGAATCTGGAATCAGGACGGATCAGACCATCAAAGTCCCCATTTGCATCGCCATTCTTCTTCATTAAAAAGAAAGACGGGAAGTTGAGACCAGTTCAAGATTATAGGAAGCTAAACGATATCACCATCAAAAATAGATATCCACTTCCGTTGATCGGGGAACTAGTAGACAAATTGAGTGGAGCCAAATACTTCACAAAATTGGATGTAAGATGGGGATATAATAACATCCGAATGAGAGAAGGAGATGAGCATAAGGCGGCGTTTAGGACAAATCGGGGATTATTCGAACCACTAGTCATGTTCTTCGGACTGACAAATTCCCCCGCCACGTTCCAAATGATGATGAACACGCTTTTTAGAGAGTTGATAGATGAAGGATTAGTAATCATATATCTAGATGATATCATGATATTCACAAAGGATATAGAAACACACCGAGCAACGACGCGACGTGTGTTAGAAATCCTGAGAAAAAATCATCTCTATCTTAAACCAGAAAAATGCGATTTCGAACAGACAGAAGTGGAATACCTGGGACTGATCATCTCAGAAAACAAAATTCGCATGGATCCGGTGAAGGTAGAAGGAATCAGCAAATGGCCAGAATGCAAAAATAAGAAAGACATACAAGCATTCTTGGGATTTGTAAATTTCTATCGAAGGTTCATAGAGGGCTTCGGGGAAGTAGCCAAACCATTGACCAAGTTAACGGGAAAAGAGGACTTCATTTGGGGAAATGAACAACAAGAAGCATTTAACACATTAAAACAACGTGTAGCTTCGGCCCCGGTGTTAGCTCTCCCAGTACCACATGGCCAATACAAAGTAGAAGCGGATAGTAGTGACTTCGCTATGGGTGCTGTATTATCACAAAGACAAAAAGATGACTGGAAGCCAATTGCATACCTCTCCAAAGCGTTAAACCCCACAGAACGCAATTACGAGATCTATGACAAAGAACTTCTTGCCATCATGACGGCACTTAACGAATGGAGGCATTACTTGATAGACGCAGAAGAGGAATTTGAAATATGGACAGATCATCAAAATCTACTGTATTTCAAAGAACCCAAGAAGTTGAACAGGAGACAGGCGCGGTGGATGACAGAGTTGAGCCAGTATCATTTCACGATACATCATATGCCAGGAAGGAAGCATATAAAAGCAGATCTTCTCTCAAGGCGGTCAGATCATAACAAAGGAGAAAACGACAACGAAGACGTCATACTACTGGATGAGAAACTATTTGTAAGAATGACTCTCTCTCCAGAACAAAGACAAAAGATCGCAGATAGTCAGGAGGAAGAATTAGAGATTTCAAAATGGATTACAAAGAGAAAAGGAAATGTAGATGAATTGATAAAAAAGATGAAAGGAAAGATAGAGAGGAGAGAGGATGGATGGCTAGACGAGGACGGTCGCATAGTATTCAAAGGCAGGATCTATGTACCGAAGGATGCCACGTTAAGGGAAGAGATTATCCGACGAAACCACGACTCTGTTATTGCAGGTCATCCAGGAAGATATAAGACAAAGGAGCTAATTACTCGACAGTACTGGTGGCCCTATATGGACAGAGATATCACGAGATACGTAGATGGATGTGAAGTCTGCCAAAGAACCAAAACAGACCATAAAAAGAAAGCGGCACCGCTTCATCCAAATGAGATCCCGGATAAACCTTGGCAGATCATATCAGTAGATCTAATCGGACCGCTACCAGAATCAAATGGATATAACATGATAATGGTAGTAGTAGACCGATTTACAAAAATGATCAAGGTAATTCCCACGCAGATGGAGATCACATCGGAAGGAGTGGCACGACTATTTAGAGATCATGTATTCCGGAACCATGGCATACCCGAAAAGATCATCTCGGATCGGGGACCGCAATTCGTTTCAAAATTCATGAAAGATCTACATACACTTCTTCAGATAAAAGCGAACCCATCGACGGCTTGGCATCCACAAACGGATGGACAGACGGAGAGGATCAATCAAGAGATAGAACAATATCTCAGAATCTTCGTAAACCACAAACAAGATGATTGGGCAGAATGGCTTACCCTAGCAGAATTCTCTTACAATAACAAACAACATTCTGCGACGGGATATAGCCCGTTCTACCTGAATCATGGACATCATCCGAGAACACAGGAAGTAGTGAAAGTGGGGGTAAAAAACGAAAACGCAGAAGACTTCGTAAAGAGAATGACAGAAACAAGGAAGAGAGCGGAAGAATCGCTGCAAAAGGCAGCTGAACAGATGAAGAAGCAGTACGATAAGAAGAAGAGAGAAGCAGTAGAGTATAGAGTAGGAGATAAGGTGTACGTAGAAGCGACAAATATCTCAACAGATCGACCAGCTAAGAAACTGGACGACAAGAGACACGGTCCGTTTGAAATACTGGAAAAGATAGGCGAATCGGCATATAAATTAGCGCTACCACCGACATGGAGGCCTATTCATCCAGTTTTCAACGAGATAAAGCTTACACCGTACAAAGAACCACAGTTCCCTTCCCAACAGAAACCTAAACCAATACCGCCGGTAATAGTGGACGGACAAGAAGAATACGAAGTCGAAGAAGTTTTAGACTCACGTCTAAAAAGAGGGAAATTGGAATACTTAGTACATTGGAAGAACTATCCAAAAGAGGAACGCACGTGGGAACCCGAACAACATCTAAACAACTCACCCGATAAAGTAAAAACATTCCACGATAACAACCCTAGTGCACCTCGACGGATCCGATTTCAATTACATTTCCAACCCTTCGAAAACTTCACAACGACTAGAGTCCGAAAACAATTGTTTAATTGGGAAAACGGAAAGATGGACCCCTACTTTCGGGACGAAAGTCCTAAAGAGGGGGTAATGTCACGACTTGAACCAGAAGCGCTAATCTGAGCGCTAATTTCCTTTTTCATTTCTTTGATATCTGATCACATGACAGATAAGATATGTTAAGCTGCTGCTTTAGCGCGGATAACATAATACGTAGTTATATCAGATCACGTGACCACCACGTGACACGAGTCTAGAATTATTACAAAGAACATCAGTCAGCGCCTCATGGCTACTGCATGTTAGCTCAGTCAGCGCCTCATGGCTGACTTTCAGAAACATATATATAGTAGACCATCATGTACATACTTTCCTCAGTTGTTGATTAATTCTCAATCGTTACTTGAAACGCTACTTGTCTGATTAAAAGCTTTTATCCCTCCGTTAACTCGGTATAGGGGATAGAGGTTTTACAATCTCCAAGGTGAATTGGAGTGAGTTTGAAACTAGTGAATACGTTAAGTGAATCAAATGGGAGATTTGCAATATTGACTTGATTTCTGGACATATAACCTGGCTGACTGTGCATTAGGCGATTCAGAAACTCCTTGATATCATGTATGAAGCCATGGCATTGGTGGTTTTGTTGAATTAATTGAAGGGGTTATTGTGGAAGAGGAGATACTTTGGCTATGTTAATACCTAAGCCAGATGAATTCTGGAGAATATCTTGCTGACGTAGAACTGGTCTATTTTGTAAAGACAATTGATAGCATTCAAACCATGCAGTTTTTTCTTGCCTTGTTAGCCAGGTGGTCATTTGTGGACGCTCATTCCTATGATTTGATGCTCTCCATACATCCTTGGCCATGTCTATGTGGAAACGTTCAAACATTTCTGCATTGTAGTTATTTGTAGCCCCAAACCAGCAAATAGAGTTGACATAGTGTAGTAGAGAGTGAAATTTAGGAATATTAAAATTTTCTCTAACACCCAGAGTGACAAAAATGCTTTGTTTTGATGAAATGTTTTGAGAGCATCTGATAGATATCCAAGGGTTGTATCGCTGTGTGTGGGGTACTGAGCAATGTAAATAAAGTCCAAGAGTGATCTAATTGTGATAATTGCCTGCTTGGGGAGTTTTCCTACAAGGCATCCTAAAAGTACCTTGGCCATATCTTTTCTTTCACCTCCAGATATCTGAGAAAAAGGCGATAAACCATTTTTGAAATGCTTTGATCCATATGCAGGAGGTAAAGTGCATATTCTTGCATCCAGTTTCTCTGTACCCATAAGATCTTGGCACCATAAGATAATATGTTTAATGACACCTTGATATAACTGATGCAAGACGTCGGGGGTATTGCAAAGATGAATATCACAGTAGGGAAATCCTTCCCAAAATGGCCTGTAAACACCTCCAGATACATCTTTATCCATACATTGATCAAAAAATTCTCTCCTTGAGTTCAAAGATGAGGCTTGATTAATGACAGAGAGAGTCTAGTCAAACATCCTAGGTTCCCTAGCTGCTTTATTTTCAAGGTCTGTTGCTGGACGCCTGCACTTGGGACATGTTCCATACTTTGAGCAAGTCACCAGACATTGCTCGGGATAGTCGGCGACATAGTAAGCAAAAATAGGGTGAATCTTTCTCACTGCACCATCTCCACCTGTAACCTCCATTCCTTTACATCCAGCCTCAATAAGTGGCTCCAAAATCATTCGTACCAAGGCATGGAAAAGTCTTTAAACACGTGCTGTCTTCTCCTTTGTTGTCAAGCCTTTTTTCACCAATTTATTGACAGACAGATATCCAATGAGTGCGCAAGCGTGCTGAGAGGGTTTGTGCCTAATAGAGCTGGGTATATTGCCTAGCATTAGATACACCAGATATGCAAACTTGTCGCCTGAGAACTGAGTCAACTGAGTTTTGTCTGTCGCTATTATAACAGGAGCAACAGATGCTCCCCGAGGTAGAAGAGCCTAAGGTCAAAGAAATAAGTATGAAATTTAGAAAGGAACCACTGGCGTGAATATATTAACCTGTACAGAATGCCACCATTTCCCAGTCCACATCTTATTAAATATACGATCATCCCTGTTGCTGTTTGTGAATATTCTTGGGGGTTTATATACTATGTCTGTCGCATGTGCTGGATTGCCCAACAAAGAAGTAATGGCTTGTAAGGGGTCTCTATATTGTATAAGGTGTTTTTCTTCTGGACAATCATCAAAGTGTAGATATTTTGAGTGCCATTTGGCCCTTTCAGGAATTTTGGAGTCAATAATTTTTAGAACGCTTCTGCTATTTTGATAAAAAAGGCCCAGTCTCTGGGAAAGCTGGCGTAAAGGTTGGAGGTCAGTTAACATAAAACATGGATCAAAGTGTGGAGGCGTCACTCACTTCAGGAATTGCCAATAATCTGTCAAGAGATTTCTGGCCAACCCCCTCCTGCAATGCCCGATGTGCAAATTTCCAGTCTAATTCTGTGGAAAATGGAGCCCATCTATTATCTGGAAGATCAACATCCATTTCATTGTCATCTTGATGGAATTGGTGAAAAATCTCCCTCCATTTATTATGAGCATCCAGATCCACCCTTATAACCTTGCCAGCATTCTCATTTTGTTCCACTACTCTTTCATTATCATCATCATTGTCATCCAGATTAAAGTGCAGGGAGTGGGGGTGACGTGAACTGCCAGCCTGCATCTCTGGGTCAGGGTTCAAGTTATCCTGGGTGTTGCCTTGCATTGCAGGATCATTCAGGAAATTGTTAAATGGTTCTTGTAAGCTGTTGAGGAATATATCTTCTGACCCATCTGAGTCATAATCTTCTTGGTTGTAAACATTTTCATCCAAGTTGACTTCATCAAATACTACTTGTTCAGGGCCTAGGTTGTCTGCCTCAAGTTCTCTTCTCTTTCCTTTCCTATACCAAGCACACATTGCTGACATTGATAGGTGAGCCATAACACCTTGTGGTGTTTTCAAAAGTTTTCCACATGCAGGACATGTGCAATCAACCATACTTGGTATGTGTGCCATTTTCTCCTTGAACCTATACTACACCATACACATCCAGTCAGTTTATGAAATAATAACACCAGTTAATATGAAATTGATACCTTTGATTATCTAGGACCCGTTTGTAAATATGCTGTCAAGACGCAACACCTCAATCTGCACCGGCAATATCCCAAATTGGAAATACGTAGTGGTAAAACATAGAATTTGCTTGTTCTAATACAAATAGAAGTTGTATATGTCTAAGTACAATATTGTTTACAAGCGCAGAGTACAAGAACAAGAGAAGTAATACATATAATGTTGTCCGTGTCCATTTTTCACTTCCTCCTTGTGACATTGTTGCTGGAGCTACCTACACCCAATTTCTGTCGAACAAGCTGACCCACTTCTTCTTCAGAGTGAAAAGGATTCCTTCTCCTAGCTGCCTTAGCACGACTTTGGGGGGCATTATAATGATCCTGAAAATGTCTATGTGCCAGATCAGCTACAGATCCTTGAAAAGCCTGAAGGAAATCGTCAAAATCCAGCTGGATATTGAAGTCTGAGAGATTGATGGGAGATATCTCTTTAGGCAATACTTGGGGGTGAAAATGGGGAGTAGGTAGAATAGTGGTGGGCATGCGCAAATGGGTACCACTCTGAAGAGGACGACCAGTGCAATTTGCTATCAAATCCTGGGTAGCAACCTCTAGCGCTGCTATCTGAGCAGCTGCACTTTCAGCTTCTAGGTTAGCAACAGTCTGGGGCGCACTCCTCATAATCTTCTCCATCTCCAAAATTGACCTGGTAATAACACAATTGAAAACTTCGTTGAATTGTCTTTCTGGGCTTGAGTGGGATAGAGTTGGCCCACATCTATATCAGGTACCACCCTCTGTACATATATTATATTAGTCAAAGAAGGCTGTGATCAAGAGGGGACGCACCAGTACTACAGGCGTAGGAAGATCCCGTGTATAGCCCTCCCCCCCTACAACCTTTGGGTCCCTTTCATACAGGTACATATCCACCACAAATCTACCCGCCCATGTTACGCTGTCAGCTGTCCTCAAAGGGCCATATTTGATATTGTCGTCCTTTTGTAAGTTGCACAAATACTGCATGTTGACGGGTTCAGCGTACCCATATTGGGGCTTTGCGTATTTGTGGGACTCATAGAATTTGACCACTAGAATGCCAACAAGGTGGGGGAGCTCCTCCCAGTACTTTTTCACCTTCTGGGTGACGTCCCCAAGTGATTGGGAGTGGAAGACCTTGACAGTGAACAAGTCCTGCCACTCAGTGCTAGGGTTGAGGCTTTGGAACTTGAGGGCTAAGTCGGGTACAGTGGTGATTTGACCTCGCCGGAGGAACTTGGATGTATTAGAACTCAACTTGAACTTCCCATCTGACCGTCTGATAAGGCCTGACAGTTCCCCCTGTAAAAGTTCACTGGGGCGCTTGATGAAAACTTCATGTACAGGAGTAGGCATGCTCAGTTGCAAGATGCCTTTCACATGGTCATATGTATATCTGGAAGTAAGGACATAAGTACAGTATATTCACTCATGAAAAAGCATATTTTAGAGTGCTGTAGTCACTTTTTCTGAGCTTGTCCACAAACTCAGGGAAACTTGATGGTTTAATATAGAATTGCTAAGGGGAAAAATCAGATCAGGAATGTAGCTAAACAATGATTTCTCACATGGACATATACGTCCTGAGAATTATACTTCAAGTGCCTAAAAATTTGCTCAATGATGGGCTGGACTTGATCCTCAGATGTAGTGATTGGTGCAGTATGGGTGGATGTTGAAAGAGTGGATGTTGATAGATTACTCGGGGGAGTGGCAAAAGATCGTTGTTGAGTAGCTGTGCATTGCCATCAGGTAATTTTTTTAATTTAAATAACTGACTTACCTTGTGGTCCAGGAGAGGCCTTTGACCGAGTAATAGGGGGGGGTATACCAGTAGGTAGCACCATTTCCAGTGGAAGTGGAGGATACTGTGTACATGGGGGACAGGGGCATTTTTGCAGACTGAGAATGGGATATTCTGCTGAAATATGTCTCAGTACTCAGCCAACCAAGTAAGTAGTTTTAAAAAAACCCAGGAAACTCACTTCATATCTAAATATTTGCACCAATATGTAGGTGTAAGCGGGCGGGCAAGGAAGAGAATGATTCAAAAGATGATAAGCGGAGAGCCGCCCACATCCACAGTTGGACGTGTGCAGTCCCATTGTTCCATGCAGTGTGAGAAAGGGGACAACAGCTGATCTCTTTTCTCACACTGCATGGAATCAACAGGTTGCTATTGCAAAAAGCCAATAATCACTATGAGAAAAATAGTAAGTCTCTGTTCATTCCACCTTAGTATCAGCACTCGCTGCATATGATTGCAATACCCAATGAGCCATGCGAGAATGGACCGTCAGACTGTCTATTCTCTCATGGCTCATTGGGTGATCTAATCTTATCTTTGCTGGAACAACAATACTGGACCGTGCGAGAATGGACAGTCTGACCGTCCATTCTTGCACGGTCCAGCAGATTGCTGATTTCACGTTATCAGCATTGCAACACCTTATCATATTGCTGTGTAACCAAGGTCAGGCTGCCATACATTTTCCCACAGTCTTTGTAGTATACTGAAGATGTACAGATTTACTATTTCGGCACTACAGGTCAAGATCCTCACTCGGATACTGGGTCAGCAACCACTGCCAACAGAGCTGATGGATTTTTACGCCCAACTGGTGGGTATCCTAAGCACGCTCACTCCTGCTGACCTCTCTGCACTGCTAGACAAAGTGGCTCTATCCTCAATGGTTCCATCGTCACTCTCTGACAGCCCACCTTCTGTCACCATGCATCAAGACCTAACAACATCATCCCCAGCCCACTTTGGTGAAGAGGTATGTTGTCTCTCCCCTCCTAATGCCAATATTACTGGCTATTTTTTCTCCACAGCAAACTCAAGCTGATGAGTCCAAATTGCAGACCAATCAATCTCTGCAACAATCTCTGGCGGTGATACGCTCACAAAGATGCCAACCACGTCAACACCCGTATGCTGCTGCAGCTCCTACTCCTACTCTTGCACGTCGATCTTGTTGATCTCCATCTTCTGCATGTCGACAACCTGCTCCTGCCTTTGCTCCAGCTCCTGCACGTTGACGGCCTTGTCCAAGGGCTGGAGTTGCTGTCCAGCAATCTCTGTGGCAAGCAGTCAATGACCCTGCTATTAGGATCAACTTGGCCGTCAACGCTTTCATAGCACGGCTTGCGGTCGCACATAAAGACTCCTCAATGTTCAACTCAGGAGAGTGGGCACACTCTGTCAACTCCCTGTTGACCTCTGTTAAGTCCACCAATGACTACCTGGACAAGTCTTTGGCTTCTGTTGTGGCGCACTGTTGGTGCATGACCAGTAAAGACATAAGTGTCAACTTTTTGCTGATGATCAGCTACATCCAGCTTGTTGCCAAGTCCCAAAGGTGAGTGAAAATTGTTATGGATAATTATCATTTCTTTCTGATGTTTATGTTTGTATGCTAGTCTTTGCTCTCAGCAAGGTATCTCCCTGGCAAACCTTTGGAGGGATCTCCCTCAGCCTAAGCCGTCTAAGAAACGGTTTGAGCAATGGCATGCTATGGGCTGCAAGTTTGCAGCCATAGCAGCCGGTGGTAAGATTACCTTTGTCTGCATTAAACCATACTTACAGATCTATGTAGGATCTATCTATGCCCTTGTTTTGGTTGCAGGCTTGAACTTACGGGTTCAACTTGGTGAAATGGATGAAACAACGCCATGGGAGATAGCCAATGTCTTTAGGTGGCCAGTTGAATGTAAGTGTACTACTTCTTACTGCGTGTATGCTAACTAAACAATGTTATGCAGCTACTATTAGTGGACAGCTGGTGATTAGTAGAATCATCCCAACTACTTCTAGCTTACGCCAAAACCTGCCACTGAACATGAACTGCATGTTCGCACCTGGCATGCTCAGTTATTATGGCCTTCCTGCCAATATTGATTGCACAAATCTTGGGGCTTCTGATCAAATTTTTAAGGCTATCCGATTCAAGTATGTCACAATCATTTCATCCTAACAGTTTCTGATTTTTTTTGGTTTTTTGTAGTACTTTCCAACCCTTGGATTGTCATCTAGATTGTTGGGGAGTCTGTATGCACACTATAGACATAGCTCATGTACCCATACATTGTCATGGTCAGGCTATCTTAGGTGTAGGTACAACATCTTCAGTACGCTTCCTGACTCCCTTATCCGATCTTGACAACATCCTGCCTTGTTCTCAACCACCATCACCATCATTACCACCAGTTATCCTCCCTAAAATGTATCTGGTTAGCATGACATTCCAGAATATGGCTAAAGGCAATCGCCAATACTCTGCACCGCAGGATCCTGGCAATAACTACAAGTGGACCGAATCAGAAAGAGAAAGGGCAAGTCAAGCCATCAAGGTCACAGATGTGGAGGACCTGATGGCCAAGGTATGTCATTATCATGTATGTAGTGTATGCAATATCAATGCTAAATACTTGTTCTTAGATACAGAAACATTATGATGGGGGTGTTTGTACAGATCCCTCAGCATACTTGTATATATCATCCTCAATAGTTCCCTCCATCCCTCTTCTGTTGAAAAACAGCGATGCTTTGCTCAGGTTATTTTTAAACAGCTCTATGCCAGAATCAATTCGCACCACTCTCCTGCCTAACTTCCAGTCCTGCCTAGGTCCACCACATCTTTACATTATGTAGACTCAGCTGTTGAAGGTGAAGGCTTCACATTTGAAGCTCTGCATTTCTCTTGGTACAACTGCTGTTGATGATGAGAACTGTTGTTAGAAAACCACACACAAAAACAAACTAACAAACAATCCTCCCAGATTCCATGGAACTTGTGTATGGGCTTTGCCTCCTAGAACAGTGGGTGCCCTGGTTGTTTGTGGGGTGGTATGTATGAAGATCCTTCAAAGTAAAATCCAGAGATATATGGGTCTGGGTTTTGAGGAGGAGGGATAGTTGAATTTAAAGAGGATAGGGGCTTTATGATGAGTATAGATGAGCACTACCTTGCTAATTGTAGCACAAGGTAGGTTTGAGAACAACAAGATGACGAGGTTCCCAGTGATAGCAGGCTCCTGACACACAAACTGTAGTGCTCAGAAGGACTCTAATTGAAAGGGATGACAATGACCTTTAAAAGTGATGCGTGACAATGACAGCAATTAATAGTGGTAGCAGTGGGAAGTGTTGTGACCACACTGGATCACAAGTAGCAGAGTATGATAAAATTGGATATTGACCAGACCAGGGATTGAACCTGGAACCTTCTGGATACATGCCAGCTGCTCTACCAATTGAGCTATATGGCCAAGGTTATACAATGTAGGATCTTATACATGACATGCAACCACGGACGTCTTACACAGAATAGCTGCTGCATACTGGGCTGGCTTACAAATCAGAGGTATTATCCTATGGAGTATTGGTATGTCAGAGTATATTCTAACAGAGTAGTGAGCTTGAGATTAGAGAAGAAGTCTGGATTGGAGTTCTTTGTTGTTTTACAAGGTAAAATACAGGGGTTTATATAGTGAAAGAAAAGTAGGCTATGCACAGTATAGCTGTGCAAAAAGAATGAGAAAGAACATGAAGGAAGGAATGTACACTGACAAATCCTGCATAGGTAGTACAGGATAAGATTGTCAAAAAAAGGAAAAGAAAGGGATAGAACAATAAATGCTGTGAGTAATGTCACAGGTTTGTACAGCCATAAAGTAAAGTCCAATAGCAAAAAGAGAGCAGGAAAATCTTGATGTCATGGGAAGACGCAGTAAACAAAGGGCAAGGCAAAACACTACCAGTATCAACACAGTTCCTTTATTGTCAGTCAGGCATTCTAAAAAAATATGTGTCCATAAAAATGATTCAAAAATCAAAAATAATTGCACTGTAAATGAATGTTCTGCTGAAAAAAAAAAGAAACTGGAGCCACAGGTCCACCACCTAGTCCAAATCCAACAGTTCCATGGCCTTACCAATGGACTGGTTGTGTTGGACCACCTGGTCAAACAAGGGAGGGAGAGGAGTAGTTCCAATTTGGAACAAGTGAGTCCCAGGCAGCGTGTGGTAGGTGTAGCTGTAGCAAAGACAATGGACAAAAGATAATTGTACCCAAGTGAATGGGACAGCAATAAACATGGGCGATGCAAGGGGATGAACCTTCTCCAGCTCAAAAACTACCCACCCACGCTCCAACCAGGCGAGACGAGCGACCAATGTTTTGATAGTATATGATGGCAGATTGATGTCATGAAGATGGACCTCTTGCCCAACTTGGACCGGCCGCCGGGGCTTTGCTGATATCAGCAGTGGCACGTGGTGGTCAACGGATTGGCGATGGAAGCAGATAGAGAGTGGTGACATCAGATATGGTCAGGGAGCAAAGAAGATGAGGAGGAGGAGGAGGAGGGTGGAGGTGACGAGGAGGTGAACTAAAATGGGGATCCAGAAACAACTGTCAGGTGAGAATAAAAAAGAGAGTAAGGGGCCCATGGTGGGGCTAGGCAAATGAAGGGAAGTGAAGGAAACAACAAAAGCAAGGGCGCAATGCAATGTGTAGCCAGTGGTGATGCGAAAATTTGCCAAAATGCCAAAATGCAGAAAGTACCAAATGGAAAACCAAAGGTGAGCATGACTGGGTTGCCTAATAGAGGTGGTGCTGATCAGCCATAAGTTTGAAAAAGGCAATATTAATTACTACTCCACGTGGCACTGTGCCTGTGTGGCGCAAAGGCGAGTCTTTTTGAATATTTGCTTTGTTATTGACACCTGTCCATGCTACCAACCAACTTTGGCGCATGACAATGCTTCACTTGGATTTTCTCTATCTTTTGCAACAAAGCCAAGCTAATAAAACACTCAATGAGTATCTTAGCTTAATGTATGTTTTCTTTTTTACAATTATCTTATGTGACACTAATACAAACTCTGTTTATTCTCAGCCACCATCTACATTGGCATAAGCGCTATAAATGCCCCCACCATATTCAACCACCACACCACAAGTATACCTTCAGGTGTAGTTTGTGTCCAGAATTCCATATATGGGACTAATCAGTCCTAGCTATCCCCACTTATATCTTTGGTCATTACAGTGATTTATTGGTATATGTATAACCACTTTTATTTTTTCTGAGTCGTTGGTGAATAGGCAGAGGTAAGTTCACCCATCTAATACTCGGTGGTAGTCACTTATTGGTTATTATCTTGCACACACTTGATGAGTTATCAAGCAAAGCTCACAAGCCATTCATGAAATTGTGGTGAGTGATTTCATGGTAGCATTTATACAACATTACTGAGTGCATTATACATAGTATGAATAACTTACAGTATCTGATTTAAAGGTATGGTTTCAACTTTGTTAGGATAGTTTATCATTGCATGTGTTATGTAACCGTATTAGAAATATATGTTGATTTTACTGAATATAATGTCTGATTATAATACAAGTAAAAACAATATAAATGCACCGGAATAATATTTTATGGTAGTGATAGCTTTTATGTTCTATGGTAGCAGTTATAGTAGAGGTATAGTACATGTATTACAGAGATGCTATCATAACTGGTATAGCAAATGTCTCAAAATAGTACTGCTATATAGCGCTATATAATAGGGATTTGTCTAGGTGTACTATAGCTACTATTTTCCCTATATAACACTATGGTGGCTATAATAGCTATAAAAGGCAGCTAGGTTTTTCCTGATGTTTACAAAGTCGGACAATGAGGCTGAGCATAACAGGATCATGCAAAAAGTCCTTCGACGCTTACAGGAACAGGACCTATTTGTCAAACCCAAAAAATGTAACTTTAAAGTGAAGGAAGTAGACTTCCTTGGTATGCTAATTGGCCAGAACGGAATCAGGATGGATCCTGAGAAAGTTCAAGCCATTTTGGATTGGCCTGAACCTACTCACGTTAAAGAAGTTAGGGCTTTTCTTGGCTTAGGCAATTTCTACCAAAGGTTTATTGAAAACTTGGCAAAGATAACGAGACCATTGAACGATCTCACCAAAAAGGACATTGTCTGGCATTGGGGTGCCAAAGAACAAGAAGTTTTTGATAAGCTTAAACAGGCATTCACAATAGCGCCCATATTAGCATTTCCAGAATTAGACAAAGAGTTCCGGCTAGAAACTGACTCTTCTGATTTTGCTACTGGGGCTGTTTTGTCAATTAAATGCCCTGACGATCTTTGGAGGCCCTGTGCCTATTTAGTGCATAGTTTGTTGCCTACAGAGCGCAACTATCAAATTTACAATAAGGAGATGCTGGCCATCATCAGAGCTTTAAAGCACTGGCAGCACTACTTAGAAGGTGCTAGGCACCAATTTGAAATTTGGACCAATTATAAGAATCTGGAGTATTTTATGATGGCTCAAGACTTGAACCAGAGACAGGCCCGCTATGTGGTGTACTTGTCTAGGTTTAATTATAAATTAATTCATAAGCCTGGAACTTTGATGGGGAAAGCGGACACTTTATCCAGAAGAGAGGATCATGCCAATGGCATTGAAGATGACAACAAGGATGTCACCCTGATAGACCAATCCAGGGTTGCCAATGTTCAAATTGGGCAGGATTCTGATCTCCTGGAAACCTTCAAGAAATACATCTCCTCAGAAGAGAAGGCGCGCCTTAACAGCAATGAAAATTATTTATGGGAAGATGGGCCCTTCTGTTTTAAAGACAACATTTATGTGGCGGAGTCCACAAGGATCAAGGCAATAGACAGACATCACAACACTCCAGTGGCTGGGCACCCTGGGTGGCAACAAACAATGGAGTTGATCTCCAGAAACTACATGTGGCCTGGCATGGTCAAAGACGTACAGGAATACATAAAATCCTGTCTGAGATGTGCCATGGCAAAGGACTCTCATCAACCGCCAGCCGGTAAACTTATGCCAAATCCGATACCGGCTGGTTCCTGGCAGGATATATTGGTTGACTTTACTATGGATCTGCCCAAATCAAATGGGTATGATTCAGTAATGGTGGTAGTGGATTGCTTCTCCAAAGAAGTGGTATTTATTCCCACCAACAAAACTATTACCGCCGCTGGTACGGCAAATCTATTTAAAGATTTCATATGGTCTATCCATGGATTGCCAGAAACGGTTATCTCCAATAGAGGACCACAGTTTGCTAGCAAATTTATGAAAGAGTTATACTGGATGCTGGGCATCAAACCTAAATTATCAACGGTGTTCCATTCACAGACTGATGAACAAACAGAGAGGCTCAATCAGGAATTAAAGCAATACCTTTGTATATTTATCAATGATAGGCAGACAGATTGGGCCAAGTGGCTAAAGATAGCCCAGTTCTCTAATAATATTAAACAGTTGTCGGCTACAGGAAAGGCAACATTTGAGGTTACAAGATTGTACCTCCCCAGAATGGGTGTAGAACCTTGTAAAAGCAAGAACAAGGCTGCTGGGAACATAGTCAAAGACATGAAGTCTGTCTTAGACAAAACGCGCAAGGCGTTATTCAAAACTGCAGAGCAGATGAAAGACAGGGCAGAGTGTAGATGCTCTAAGGCCGCTGACTACAAGGTTGGTGACCTGGTCTGCTTAGATACTGACCACTTAAAATTGAAAGATTGGCAGTCCAGAAAACTGACCAAAAAGTGGATTGGCCCTTACCGGATTAAGGAAGTCAAACCCAACACAGTGAAGCTGGAACTCCCAAAACAAATGAAGGTAGTACCTACAGTCAATATTAGCCGTGTGAAACCCTACAAAGGACCACTGGCAGGACTGCACGTGAATTAGCCTGGACCAGTTGTAGTCACCCAGGAAGGTGAAGAAGAGTTCAAAGTTGAATGAGTGGTGGACGCATACTTGAAGCGTGGAAAATTAGAGTTCCTAGCCCTATGGAAGGGCTATGGAGACGAGGACAGAACATGGGAACCAGAAGCCCATCTGGACAGCTCCTGTGACACTGTTTGTGAATTTTATTGTAAAAATCCCTCGGCTCCTAGGAAGCTTAGAGGTATGGATTTCAACCTTTTTAATTCCTTTTTTCAACCTATGCCCAAAAATTTAACTACTACCTCCAGTATTTGGTTGAGCCTGGAAGTCAAGCCTTAGGGGGGGGTAGTATTACAATAACACAATTTTTGGACCATTAATTTTCATCCTCCTATTCAACTTTCTTCTATAGTTTTCACACACTGTGCCATGCAGCACTATTGTTCAAACTCCACCTTTCTCACGCTGCACTGCCTTTCTTCTTATTTTAGCTACAAGTATCTCACACAGTGGAGCTGGTCACATGGGCTGCATCAGGAAAAACCATTTTGCTATATAGCTAAGCATGTTTTTATGGCTTTTATAACAGCTATAGTATTACTATAATAGTCAAAATTTTTCTATAATAGATATCATAACCGCCATGGTAGCTATTGCAGCTATAGTAGCCATAATGGCTTGTTTCTATCTATGGGAACTTTGTTCTGATTGTGATGAAAACACCATTATTACTCACTAAATGGTTTGGCATATATATTAGCCTGCTTATTTATGTAATAAAAGTCTATCACATATGTCCCAAATATTGTCTGTATATTTCAGCAACCAGGCATTGCTATGATAGATGGTATAAGGACTATGGCAGCTATAGGAGCTATAATAGCTTGTTGTTTTCCATGAGACATTTTTCTGGTGGTAATGAGAATGCTATTATTTATACAATGGTTTGTTATGCATATAAACTAGTCTCATGGTTTTATAAAAATCTATCACAAATATTCAATTGTACAGATAGTAAAGAACACCACTAACATCACATCAAATTTGAAGTGTTTTGCTTGATGCACAAGAATGGATTTAAGTGGAGTTTGAATATGTGGCACCAAAGCGAATTTTCAGCAGTTAACTTTGAACACTATAATTGAGTGTGTGAAAATGGACAGTGCACTTCCCATGATTAGATTAGATTTGATGTGTGTTCAATGTGGCTTGCTTAACAGGGAAAAATAATTTTAAGTGGAGCTTTAAATTGCCACACCAAAGCAAAATTTTCTAGCAGTTGACTTTGAACACTAAAATAGAGTGTGTGAAAATGGATAATGTCACTGTCCATTTTCACATGCTTCCTATGATTAGATTAGATTTTGTGCCATTTTTTTTCAGAATCAGCTCTTGATGTATATGTGGCACTAGTGTTAAGTCACGGGTCACATCACAGCTCAGTACATTTGGACGCTTCACTTGGATTTTCTCTATCTTTTGCAACAAAGTCAAGCTAATACAACACTCAATGAGTATCTTAGCTTAATGTATGTTTTCTTTTTTACAATTATCTTATGTGACACCAATACAAGCTCTGTTTATTCTCAGCCACCATCTGCATTAGTTTGTGTCCAGAATTCCCATATATGGGACTAATCAGTCCTAGCTATCCCCACTTATGTCTTTGGTCATTACAGTGATTTATTGGTATATGTATAACCACTTTTATTTTTTCTGAGTCGTTGGTGAATAGGCAGAGGTAAGTTCACCCATCTAATACTCGGTGGTAGTCACTTATTGGTTATTATCTTGCACACACTTGATGAGTTATCAAGCAAAGCTCACAAGCCATTCATGAAATTGTGGTGAGTGATTTCATGGTAGCATTTATACAACATTACTGAGTGCATTATACATAGTATGAATAACTTACAGTATCTGATTTAAAGGTATGGTTTCAACTTTGTTAGGATAGTTTATCATTGCATGTGTCATGTAACATATTAGAAATATATGTTGATTTCACTGAATATGACCTCTGATTATAATACAAGTAAAAATGATATAAATGCCCTGGAATAATATTTTATGGTAGTGATAGCTTTTATGTTCTATGGTAACAATTATAGTAGAGTCAATATCCAATTTTATCACTGGTATGCTCGTGTACTTGGAGTATTCCATTTGAATGCTATGTACATTGGGCCTGATGTGAAGGATGGTTTGGTTTGTCAAATGGATATCTTATGGGTTCAGTGGTTTGGTGACGTACCAGGCTATTGCAGTGGCTTGAAAGCGGGATATTTACCAATGGTAGGTTTTTTCTGGGACTCGGAGTCAAACAGCGAGGATGCAGCATTCGGTTTTCTCAACCCATCACTGGTGATTCAAGGATGTCACCTCATCCCAGCATTTTTTGAGGGGCAAACAACTTGTTTGTACTAATATTAGCCTGTTGGAACTACAGCCTGAGAACCCTGTGTAACTAGAATATATTGACATGCACAACGTGTACTCATAAATACACTGATTTGATGCAAGATATGTCTTTCGGCTTCAGAGCCTGACATGAAATACCAGTGAGACCTGACAAAATTCACTGTGACATTCATTCAACTTTGTGTTTACCAACTAAAACAAACAAATGCAAGTGTCAATGGTTACATACACATAGTAAGGACAAGCTTCAAGGAAATTCATACAACACCTGGACACTGTCCAAGATATTAGCCATGCTTTCAAGTTAACAGATTGATGACACTACTTGCATTTCTTTTGTGAGAAGAACACAAAGAATACTATCAAAAAAAACTCTCTCCTCTGGAGTAAGACTACAGATGGCAGCAAGGGCCTGACCATTATAAACTCCAGAAGTGGTGTCGTCAAATCTGCACCTGCAATCATAAAAGCCTGTGAGACATCCAAATAGCTCCCTATTAGTTTTGGTGATTCTGCACCTTTGTGCTATCTATATATTTTCATTCCTTTCTCTATCTATTCTTCTATCATTCACTATTGATTGTGTTCTCTATTATTTTGCCTTTGTGGCTGCTTTGTTTACCTTTGTTTACAAAACTTCGGACAGTACTGCAGAGTCCAATGCTTCCTATTCTCTAGTTACTCACATTGGACTCTAGGTACTGTATACCTGTCATACTCTTTGATAATAAAGTTACTTACATTGGACTCTAGTTCCAGTCCCTGATTGCTCTCAGCAAGTGGCTAGACACTTTCTTCAAGCTTTGTTCTTAATACTCCCACCAAGCCTAATGAAACACATATCCAAGTCAGCGGCCAAGGGATGCTAACATTGCATCTATGTGGAGACTTATCACAGAGATGACCACAGCCATGACTTTATCAGTTACACTTTCTGGGAGCTTCTTGTATTTGACATAATAGCTCAGGTACCATGATGATTTGGTCATGTCCCGTAGACAAGCAAAGAGCAGGTAATTGGCGATGATCGCCAGTCAGTTTCCACAGAACCTAAGTATTTTCCCCTATATCCAAAATATAAGCCTGGGCACCACTGCAATCTTTGAATGCAACTTACATCACTTGTGTGAGCATGGCAGAAAGACATGTAGTGGAGCCAACTTTGAGCCAGTGTTACTTGGTTGGTACCATGGTCTTTGTGATTCTATACACTGAGTTGATGTATGATAAGTGTCCCTTCAACGTAGAAAGCCAGCTTGAAGCTGATTTGGAGATCTGAAGAAATGTTATTAAGAGACAAAAAAGTTTGTTTATAAGAGTAAACTCACAGGATGTGATTCCCTCCCTTTAGAATCTATGAATAACAGCTTCACTTCTGTAAAATAAAATAAAAAGAGTGTTGGTGAGTCCCCGCTAGTGAAAATAATAAGATAACGGCTTACTTCAATCAACAGCATCCATATATTGCTTTGTTGACTCATCTTCAAACTGGAGCTTTTGGGGCATGCCCAAATAATGCTTTCCAGATAGCTCATTCAACTTTACAACACCTGAGCAGTGGTTTTTTACTCCATTTTTGAATTCTTGATCAGAAAGGGACTCAATCCATGGAGACAATTTTTTAGTATTGGTAGAACAGAGTCCGTTGTGTTTTGGTATGATTGGTACAGTGCAGCGGATGGTCGTACTTGTAGATGCAGGAATGCGTACATGCACAGCAGGCATGGGTGCAGGTGCTGACTCAGGCATGGGTGTAAGCGTAGACTCAAGTATGGGCATAGGCATAGACTTGGGTATGCATAGTGGTGCAGGAATGGGAACAGGGGTGGGAAATGGAATAGTGGCGGGTGTGTGTACCAAGGGGGTCTGGGGAGCTTGAAGGACAGGCATAAGAGCTTGAGCGCAGGCAGGAGTATAAGTGGAGAAAGGAACATGGATAGGAACAAACATATACAAACTGCCACTAATATCCATGGTGGGTACTAATGGAGTGGGGGGTTTTCCTGAGACAGGTGTTCCCAAAAGGGCGGCAAAGGTGGGTTCACCAGCATGCTCAGGACCAAAACTGATGTAGAACATCAGGAAAAACACTTTGGCTATATAGCAGAGGCAATACTATTATAGCTCTAATAGTACTATATAGCAAAGGTAATACTATTTATGCTATTATAGCTCTCATAGTACTATACAGTAAGTTTGAGCACACATAGCACCAGTATAATATCATATAGCTAGCCAAGGCATTATAATGGCTTTTATAGCTATAATACCCTATATAGCTGTTAAGACCATAGTACATATTTAGAGTAATGCTTTATCCAAGTATAAGTTGTGACAATGTGTAAAAAAAATGACAAGTCCATGGAAGGTCAATATATTCATATAGTATATTTTGTACCATATGCTATAAGTGCTTTAAGAGGCTATAGCCAAATATAAGAGTACTATAAGAGCACATTGTTCCTGAATAGATGTTGGGGTTTCTATTGCAGCTATGATCACTATAACAACTATATTTGCAAGTATAGTACTATTAGAGTCTATATAGCCAAAGGGTTTTTCCTGATGTCAAGTTGGGGTATCCATGAGCTGGTGAGGGAGGTCCTTTGGACGGAATAATGTTATCTACAAAGTAGCCATATCAAAGAATAATCAAAACTTACCCTGCCTACTAGATGGATTGAAGAACCTTCTGTGATCGACCAGAGGCCCCATTGCTGTGGACACAAAACTGTTAGATATACAACTACTACGAAGAAAACTTATGTCCTTGGCTGAAGGCCATACCAACTTGTTGTGCAATAGGAGGGATATCTGCACTTTGCATGTAAGTGGAGGATCATGCAAAAAAGGTGCTGAGAAAAGAGACTTAGCTGTTTCAAAGACTTGGAGACCTTGAGGAATGCCAGTGGACTGATACATAGGAAAGTATATGTTGTAAGGACCATTTATTATTTTCTCCATGTCTTGGTTTTTGAACGCTTTCCCTGTTAGACCTCTGGCTCTAGGGCTAGAGGTGTCATTTGCTATTCTACTTCTCATAGCCATCACAGGCTTTCTCAATCATCGCTACCACTTTATATCGCAAATCAGAGACTGGGTATCACTCCCAGCCAGCCAGCATGATGGGTAGGGACTGGTAGTAGGCATCTTGCCAACCAGCTCCAAGCCCCATCAAGGCCTGGATATACTAATAAACACTTTAGTCAGGATTGTACCTCATCATGAAAATACGGTTCCTGAACACGCGTGACAAACACCTATTATTAGTACAACTTTCTCACCCACTGATTAATCATTCAAAGTCATACAATAGTTGTCCTTTTTTCTCATTGGACAATTTATTCCTCAGACCACTTTTTGTTTATTCTCCTTTTGGTCTAAGGAACGGATAATTAGCTATATAAACCCTACACGTCTCATGTATAGTTCTTTAGTTTTCTATTACTTGAATTATCCGCCTTACCTCTTATCAGAAACCTCTGAGTCTCCTCTCATATCCTCTACTTGCTATATTCACTAGCATCTGTTGATCTCAAGACTCATTGAACCTCTTACTCCCTGCAAGTGCAGAAGGAGACAGGTTTTGTTTTTGTTATATTTTGTTGTTGCCTCACATATGTTTTGTGTCAGCATATTAATTGATGAGAAATCTGTGAAATTTAATATGAGTGAGCTGAAAATATAAAATATGAGAAATACTAATGCATAGATGCATCTGTGTGAGTGGTGCCAGTTACATGGCCATATACTTGGCTGCCAAATTGACTAACAAAGGAAAACATTCTACTTGCATTGTAACCCACACTGTGAGTTACTTGAGCTGTCGGGGTCACTTCCATAGGCTCAAAGTTGGGTACAGGAGAGAACAACCCAGGGCAAATTTTTGCGTTGCCACTGGCTACACATTGCATTGTGCCCTCGCCTTCATTGTTTCCCTTACTCCCCTTCCTTTGCCTAGCCCCACCATGGGCCCCTTCCTCTCCTTTTTATTCTCACCTGATGGTCATTTCTGGATCCCCATTCTAATCCACCTTTTCATTACCTCCATCCTCCTCCTCCTCATCTTCTTTGTTCCCCCACCATATCTGATGTCACCACTTCCTATCCACTTCCATCGCCAATCCGTCGACTACCACGTGCTACTGCTGATATCAGCAAAGCCCCGGTGGCCGATCCAAATAGGGCAACAGGTGATTCTTCATGACGTTGATCTGCCATCGTATACTATCAAAACATTGGTTGCTCGTCTTGCCTGGTTGGAGCGTGGGTGGGTAGTTTCTGAGCTGGAGAAGGTTCATCCCCTTGTGTCGCCCATGTTCATCGCTGTCCCATTCACTTGGGTACACTTATCTTTTGTCCATTGTCTTTGCTACAGCTACACCTACCACACGCTGCCTGGGACTCACTTGTTCCAAATTGGAACTACTCCTCTCCCTCCCTCGTTTAACCAGGTGGTCCAACACAACCAGTCCATTGGTAAGGCCATGGAACTGTTGGATTTGGACTAGGTGGTGGACCTGTGGCTCCAGTTTCTTTTTTTTTTCAGCAGAACATTCATTTACAGTGCAATTATTTTTGATTTTTGAATCATTTTTATGGACACATATTTTTTTAGAATGCCTGACTGACAATAAAGGAACTGTGTTGATACTGGTAGTGTTTTGCCTTGCCCTTTGTTTACTGCGTCTTCCCATGACATCAAGATTTTCCTGCTCTCTTTTTGCTATTGGACTTTACTTTATGGCTGTACAAACCTGTGACATTACTCACAGCATTTATTGTTCTATCCCTTTCTTTTCCTTTTTTTGACAATCTTATCCTGTACTACCTATGCAGGATTTGTCAGTGTACATTCCTTCCTTCATGTTCTTTCTCATTCTTTTTGCACAGCTATACTGTGCATAGCCTACTTTTCTTTCACTATATAAACCCCTGTAATTTACCTTGTAAAACAACAAAGAACTCAATTCCAGACTTCTTCTCTAATTTCAAGTTCACTACTCTGCTACTTGTAATCCAGTGTGGTCACAACACTTCCCACTGCTACCACTGTTAAACTGCTGTCATTGTCACTTCCCATTTTTGAAGTCATTGTCATCCCTTTCAATTAGAGTCCTTCTCAGCACTACAGTTTGTGCGTCAGGAGCCTGCTATCACTGGGAACCTCGTCATCTTGTTGTTCTCAAACCTACCTTGTGCTACAATTAGCAAGGTAGTGCTCATCTATACTCATCATAAAGCCCCTATCCTCTTTAAATTCAACTATCCCTCCTCCTCAAAACCCAGACCCATACATCTCTGGGTTTTACTTTGAAGGATCATTATACATACCACCCCATGAACAACCAGACCACTCCACTATTCTAGGAGGCAAAGCCCACAAACAAGTTCCGTGGAATCTGGGAGGATTGTGTGTTAGTTTGTTTTTGTGTGTGGTTTTCTAACAAACAATTCTCATCATCGACAGCGGGAATGGTCTGTTGAGTCCTTCCACTTTGCGCCCAATTATTCAAGTCTTGGCGTGCCTCGGCAATTACAGCAGGATATCACATTGTATCAACAACCAAGTGTTACGATAACACGATTTTTGGACCTTCAATTTTCATTCTCCTATTTAACTTTCTTCTATAGTTTTCACACACTGTGCCATGCGGCACTTTCCTTTTTACTCAAACTCCACCTTTTTTGCACTGCGCTGCCTTTCTTCTTATTTTAGCTACAAGTATCTCACATAGTGGAGCTGGTCACATGGGCTGCACCCTCTGACATCATCAGCCACTACCTCCATCAACTGTATAGTACATATGTGTTACAATAACACAATTTTCAGACCTTTCCGTTATTTTCATTCTCCACTTTAAACCTTGTACTTTAGCTTTCACACATGGTGCCACGCAGCATTTCCCCTTTTGTTCAAACTCCTCTTTCTCGCGCCGCATTGCCTTTTTCTCTTATTTTAGATTCAACTCTCTCACGCAGTAGAGCTGGCCATACGGGCTAGACCCTATGATATCATCAGCCACTGCCTCTATCAACTATATAGTACATATGTACAAACAACCCTGTAGTAGTATATATACCCCAATAGATCCAGGAGACTCCTCAGCGAGTCCTCCTGTTGTATACCAACTAACTCACTGCAGCTAAGGGGTAACCACTCCCCAACTTCATCCTCTTTATAGTGTGTTCTGTGTGCGCCGGAGTAACTAACTCTTGGTTGTTACAATATGTACAAACAAACTGTAGTAGTATAAATACCCAATAGATCCAGGAGACTCCTCAGCAAGTCCTCCTGTTGTTTACCCACAACAACTTGGTCTATCTAAAGGGGTAACCACTCCCCTCACTTCTTTATAGCTTTGTCTGAGTTGTGTGCCAGAGTATACAAACTCTCAGTTGTAACACCAAGCACTCACCTTTATTTGCTAGCCCATCCACTTCATAAACTATACGCCACTTGACTCCTATTTATTGGTCTGGACTAAAGTAAGGGATGGAAATGCCATCACAAATGAAATGTCTGACTTGGATTAAGAATCAGTAAGATTTTTGATGGACAACACAGATACTAGTAACTTACTACTACCACTGCCACAGTCACTGTGACTGTGACCCGGATACATGACTAACTGTATGGTGACGCACCACTGGCAGAGTCGGAATCCTGAGACAAGCAAGACTTTACCTTCACGGGTTTTAAGTATTGTACTATCCACAATATTTTTGTGAGGAATGTGCCACGGCATCCAAGCCATCTTCCTGAGTTGTAAGGCTCAAGTTTTCTTCCTGTGATGTGTAGTGTGAATACCTTGTAGTGATTTATTGAGCCTTAGTGCGCTCAGAAACTTGAGTACGAAAGGCCTAGGACTTTGAGTCATGGTTGACTCATGTCAGAACACATGATGTTGTTGTAATACTCTATACCTTTTAAATAACTGCGGAGTTCTTCTAAACCACATGTCAGTTCCAATCAAAGAAATCAGCTGGATATCTGCAGGTGTGATCTTGAATATTGTGATGCTGGATGACTCAGATTTCTGACATCAGGAAAACATGATTTTGCTATAGTTGGATATGGTTAGGTAATTATGCAAATATAGCAATTGTGGCAAAAAAAAAAAGTGCATTTAGTGCATCTAAAGCAATCTATATCAATTTATAGTGAATCATATTATAATAAATTTAGCAGCTGTGGCACGTATAGTAATTAGTTCCACCTAAAGCATATCAAAGTGGATTAAAGCATTTAGTGACACCATACCAAATTTATTTATTTATTATCTAGAGCCATAATTAATGAGGATGCTAGTTATATCAATCAGTACTACAAAATATATCTAGTGTAAAATTTTACTGGCTATCTTGTATGTACATGCTAAGCCAGCCAGTGTAAATTTATCCTTGAAGCCAAAATTTGAAGTGCTTTTCAAGACATATGTGAGCAAAATAGCTGGCTCAATGTGTGGGAAAGTGTTCAATGGGAGCTTAAATGTCCCAAAAGTGGTCAGACCTTTCTATAGTGTTTTGTCAACTGTGGGAAAGCACTACTGCACTGCAGCGCAGTTGTGTCTCCCTCCCTGTCACCACATTGTGTGACACAGTGGTGGCAACACCTCATCACTGTGTCACACAGTGCTGACAATGCTGCACCAATTTTTGCATGTCTCGCTATTCTACCAAGGTTTCGTTCTAGCCTGGCTAGGGAGTAGCCAGACTGCAAGATTTTTCTCTCACCAGATTCAATTGCAAGTACCAGATGGAGATGGCCACCACCCCAACACAGATGTCCTAGAAATGGTTTGTAAGCTCCAGTATGGCATGTTATTGTTTGTTTATTCTGAATTACTATTCTGCTGAAGGCCATTTTTTGCTAGTGACGACACCTTCTTTATCACCACTTCTTTCAACCCAACCTAGACAGCCCCAACAACGTCAAAATAAAAAGGTCTTTTTTATTTATTCTATACTAATACATTACTATTTACAATTTCTAGGCTACTTTTGGATGACCTAATATGACAGCACTCAGCAAAAAAGATGAAAATTTACTCGGGGCTCTTTTGGCAAGAGATTACATATGAATGGCAACAACAACAATAATGAGTTTGGGATGATAATAAGGTAAGAATATTGTTGTCTCAAGAACATTTATTTACCAGTCCACAGGTTGTAAGAGGAAAAGGTTGTCCAACTGTTTCTACGTCTACTATGTCTACTTCTATGTCATGCAACCCCAGCATCATTTCTCTGGCTCTAGTAGCATTCTTGGTAAGTGTTTAGATCAACTCCTTCATAAAACTGACAATCAAAACTGTTTACCACATTGAAACATTCTTCTCCATACTTGGCAGCTCTATTTGATGAGATCAACAAATGCATTTGGTAAGGGCTCACTACAAATTTACATTAAAACCTTTTCTTAACCCCACATATTTTTGTAGGAATGGTTGAAATCTGATGTTTTGAGGTTATGTTTGATTTTATGTTTGATTTTGATGCTCAGAGGAAGCTGCAAAAGCATCAAAATTATTTTTATAGATATTATAATAGTACTGCAGCGTTTTTAGTATTTGGATTCAATATGATTTGCTATGGGTGCTTCTCTTGGATATATTTGAGTATAGATCAATTCTTTTGCATCTAGAGTGAATTAGAGTGAATTATATGAAAAGTGAAAGGTCATTTTTGTTTTAACGACTGTGCTATAAACCACTTTTTATGATATAGCAATACTCTAAACTGATATTTATTGATATTTATGCATTTAGAGTAGGGGACTGTGCAAGAATTGCACTTATAGATATAACAGATATTTTTGCTATGATAGCATATATTTTGCAATTTATTGCATTTATATCTAAGTCATGTTTTCCTGATGGAATATGACTGTAAATACTGATAGATGATCTTGCCATCATGATCATGATAATCAATGATCATTGGCAACTCGGATCTTTCCGGGTCTGACCAAACCTGGTGTTATCAGTCACCAAAAATTGCATTCTTGCTGGCATTGTCCAGTATCACAATAATTAATGTCTAAGTCACAATGGCTCGGATGAGGCTCCTGCTCCAGGGGCCATTTCATTTTGACAAAGAATATTTACACTGTAATGTCTTTCTCACTAATCAATCAAAATGAATTTTCTGTTTCACATATTTTGTTCTTAAATCACCTTAGTTTGATGGACAACTAAGGAGAAATTTCACCTTGAAAAACTGGATGATCAATCTTGTAGAACAGTATTTGATAAAAGAAATATAAACACTGCATTTCAGAGTTCCCCAACCTACTACTAATACCCCACTCTACATGCTTGAACTCAGGCCAGGCTGTTGTCACAATATCATGCATCCCCCCCACAAAAACTGTCAGACCACACAGCTGAACCAAAAATGCTTACAATAAGGCTGAAAAAATAAACTAGAGGCAAATGCATATAAACTTGGCCTATTGCTCTGAATGCTTTCTATTTTGGTAAAATTATGTTGTGCGGCTTGCAAGGTCTCTGCAACAACCTGGAGTTTTGCCTGTCTTGCCTATTGCAAGCACAATTGATTATAATCATTGCCAGCCCTTCATAGTTCCCAAGAAAACTTGGGCTGTGCAATAACTCAGTTACAGTCGCATTCTAAAAGTACTAGCATTTGTCTCAAGATATGACTGTCTTCAGTATTCCTGGACCCGTAGGTTCCAGGTTTCCAAAGCACAAATGTCCTCTGCGTTTTCCAAGGACCTTTTAGTCATTACTCATTTACGTTTACACTTCCTTTCCTTTCTCGCACTTTCGGCTCATTCCGTCTATTGTCACGTGGCTACCTTGGTGCTACTCACTCTTGCATCCATTGTACATTGTTGCTCTGTGATTGCTGTAAAGACCGCACAAAATGTTAACTGTAATGTGTGATCTGGACACAGCCGGGGCCAGGTCTGCCCCACAGGGCAATGGTTATATATTACAATGTGCACAAGACATTGTACTGCATTGTATCGCATTGTACGCTTAGTAATAATATCAGTGGGCCTGTAAAATATACAGCTTCATCCCACGCTCACTTACTTTTCCTGATGACACTGGCGCTTGACACTTCCATTAACCCGTATACACTTGATATCAAGTACCATCCTTGTGAGTCTGTACTTCGGTATACTCATTACACATACTTACCATTAATCTCAATACAGCTGGAATACCTCAAGGATCAAAAGTTTCAGAGTTACCCGAGAACACAGAATTGTATACCATGTTCACCCCAAAAGCGGAAGTGGGAAGCCCGTTGGCTATTAAGAACCGAGATCTCGCCAAGGCGGAGGGGGACAATATAATACTGCGAGGATTCAACAGTTTCGTGCTGAAAAATTGGAAGGGAGGAATGGGGCAAGTGATACCTACTATCTATGAAGCCACCCACGAGCCTAAAGCACACACTCCACTCCACTTGTGGATAGCTCTGAGGAAATGGTGGTATCACGGAAGGATTATGAAGAATGTCATCAAAGTATTAAAGACTTACGAAACAGAAATATCTGGTTGGATGACAGAGTTCAACGGTTGGACGAAAGTTATCAGCGGTCGGAAGAGGCTAATCGCGAGGTTGGATGAATCACACCTTGGATTAAACAAAGACTCTCAGGGATGTAAGGGCGGAAGTCATTGGTTTGAATAACGAGCTCGTAGAGGAACGGGCATCACGTGAAAAGAGTGAACAAGAAATGAGGAGGGCAAGTTCTCTTAGCTTCTGTTTTTATGTGACGCTAACCAGACATCTCGACGTCTAGTACTTGCGCCTTATCACTCCGCTACATCTCCGTGTTCTGCTTGGCAAGGCATGATAAAAATTCCTGGTGGATGTTAAGGCCAAGTGGGAGACCTATCGTTGTGGGAGATGACAACAAACTCTCCAAAGATATCTTAGAGAAACCCTCTGATACCTCATCCTCCGTCTAATGCGGCAATCCACTTCCTGTGTTTTACATCCAAAGGAGTACGGCATACAGGAAATGAGGCTGCCCACTGTGCTAGCAGAAGTGACATTAGGAAGGTTCTCATGGACGAGCAACTGGCTGACTTGGATGCTGGGGAACAACGTTTTACTAAACGAACTTTTCGAATGCACATATAGTGAATCCATATAATTGATTTTGTTGTTTTTTATGCTATATGAGACAAATGTTTTTATGGAGTCATTTTCATACTGTAGTTATCTAGGACAAGCACCCTTGATACACGCATCCCGTCGCAACCATACACTGGCATCAACCACGGGTAAATATTCTGATTGCGGTCCAGCCTACTTGTGAGTTCCTGAGGCAGATGGTTTTGATTACAACTAGGTTCATATCGATAGACCGGAATGGCCAACGGGAATGGCCAACGACCCGCAAATCACTGCAAGGACACAACAGTTGGGCACCGAAAAGATACCAATGTTCAGTGTTCAGCCCACACTACCGTTTTCAGAATGCCACAACATAAGGATCAACGAAGGCATTGACTCAAAAGCGTTCGAGTCATGGGGTACAACATATGTCGCATCGCTTGAAATAGCAAGCACAAAAATATGCCCCAGTAGAGCTTCCAGGTGGTCGCCACATGATCATCTTTGAGTGGTTATCCCACGCAGCGAGATTGCCCACCCCTAGTCATATATGTCCGAGGAATATGACCAGAGATCGAAGAGAACGTTCGTTGTCCAGCTATATAGCCGATGACGGATACAACATAAATATAAACTTTTGCTCACCATAACATACACATTTGGACCAGGAGATATCGGATGCTAGCTGCCTGCACACTACGACCATGGTGATACATACTAAGTAAAGGAAATGGCCAACCCCTCAACGAACTCTAAAACTCCTCAAAGAGCGGCTTGCGATAGGGGTTAAACTCCCCACTGATTTTCACCTTCTATGCGAACACGACTCAATTTTGATAACAGAGTGTCTCGACCGAAATAAGATCCTTGAAGATGACCCACACCAGAAAGCCAACTTGAAGTTATGGACTGGTCTGGGATCTGGACTCGGACCCGGCCTTTTCCTTGGTATGCCATTGGTGAGCAGCTTTACACCACAACCACTGGTCCGTTCGATCGCTACCGACCGATCATCCTTGCAGGATAAGGAACAAATTAAAATTGACTCCCCAAGGGACCCCTGGCAGAAACGGCGGCGGTTAATCCGACAGTATTACTGTACAGTATAGGACGTCAGACGATCGACTCGAATTGCGAAATGCTTGCCGTCTGATTCATCTTTGATTTCGATCACGTCCCCAAGATATTGAGGCAAGGGTCTAAGACTTTGCAGGTCATTTGACCCTGTCAATCCACATATCCTTCCTCCTTCCCAGATCGACATAGCTCGTGAGCCAAGCTAGTCTGCTGGAAGATTAAGCGTTTTTCTTTGCATAGAAATGATGGTGATTGGCCATTCGGACACATCGGACATAAGCGATCGTCCAATGACATCAGAGCCTGGGGAAATAAAATCTAATCTGTAGACTCGCGGGAAAAGACAAGGGTTAATGTGGTTCCGCCGTCCCGCCAGATTGCAAATGGATGTTCATGTGAGGTATTGGATGATTTGTCCCTTGCATCATTGTGGCAACTTGCTGGAACTTGCCTAAGTTAAGACATATATAAGGGCTCGAAAAAGGAGGGGAGATTGGTATACCACGTCCACCATGGCTCCCCCCGTTGCAACAGTTGCGCCCACATTCGAAGATACCGCCACTCTTTTCAAGAAGAATGGCACGGTTGCTCATAAGACTTCTTATGATGTTGCAGAAGATTATGATGGGAACTACCGCTTTGCACCCATAGAAGAGGCGGAGGTGTCGAGGGCTATGATCAAGCGGTTCGTACAAAGATTAGCATCACCAACGAAAGTTAAAACGAAACTCACTGTTTTGCGAATAGATACTTCAACACCATGTACGACAGAGCAGTGTCGGATGTCGTTATCGTTGGTGCCGGAAGTGCTGGATTGTCATGTGCATATCATTTGGCTACTTCACGTCCTGATCTGAAAGTCACCATCTTGGAGGCCAATGTCGCACCCGGTGGCGGCGCCTGGTTGGGCGGACAGCTCATGACACCGATGGTACGACATATAATTACTTGCTGTTCTTTCAACGTTGACGCTTACGGAACAGGTTGTGCGCAAACCCGCAGACCGCTTTTTGCAAGAGCTTGGCGTACCTTTTGAAGACGAGGGGAACTTTGTCGTTGTCAAACATGCTGCATTGTTTACTTCGACGATCCTGTCGCGAGTACTAGCGTTGCCGAATGTTGTCATGATGAACGCAACAGCCGTTGAAGATCTCATCATTCGCACCGACTTCCAGGGTCAGCAGCGCGTCTCAGGAGTAGTGACGAACTGGACGCTGGTGGCTTTGAACCATGACACACAATCATGTATGGATCCTAACACCATTACAGCTCCTGTTGTCGTTACTGCTACCGGTCACGATGGACCCATGGGAGCTTTTTCAGCAAAAAGACTTGTTAGTGCAGGCCTTTTGAAGGAGCTCGGCAATATGAGAGGTCTGGACATGAATCGTGCAGAACCTGCTATCGTCAACAAAACGCGGGAGGTTGTCCCAGGTTTGGTAATGACAGGTTAGCTTAACACACATTCTTATAATCTTCCTGTGCTAATAAACTTGAAACAACGAAGGAATGGAGTTGTCAGAGCATGATGGATCAAACCGCATGGGTCCTACCTTTGGAGCTATGATGGCAAGTGGCATCAAAGCAGCTCGGGAAACAATTCGCATTCTGGAGACTGCTCAAGTCGTCAATGGAAAAGTGGTTGGGTGAATAGGTCACAAACCAATATAGCGGTTTCATGATCTATTGTATGAATCGATGTTTTTCTTACGTAGTATAAAACGACACGCACTTTCTATGCAAGAACATAACTTCAATGGTAATACTCGCAGTGTTGAGTGCTACTGGCACCTACATGAAACATGAAAATTCTGTCAGGTATTATACTGCAAGCAATGTACACAGTACCTAAAAGGGAGATTGTCTCGGAGGAGCTTCCATATCCGGGCGGAGTTGGTAATTCTGTGCTGAAGTCACCACGACACCAATGTAGGTTTCCCTCATTGTTATTCTTCATTATTTTTTATGCTTCGCTGGTTTGTGGTAAGCTCAAGCACCAACGGGTCACAGATCATGCATAAGTATAGTGTATATGCTACTATATGCCTGGATCAACGTCTGCCACGAGCCGAACCTCGGGCAATTCGAGTCAGTATTATACTCTTCCCATCATTTGTTCCTTTTCTGAATACCTAAAATAGCTTCCGAATACCCGACATGCTTTGTCTTGACATACGGATCGGTATGCTTACTCCGAGTCAGGCTTGCGAGTACATGCAGATGGTTTTGTTTACGTTACATCAGCCATGTCGCTCCTTGATTCTTCATTCTCATGGTACATGGAGTCTCCTTACTCAGACCAAATTACTGACATCACGGTCGATATCAGTAAAAGAGTCAAAAGTGCGCATATTCAACCCCGCGTGAACGGTTGTACGTGACTAAGACATCCATGCCGCTACTTGATTCTTGATGCATCTAGTCTCCCCAGTCAGACCGAATTACTGCTATGACAGTCTATATCTTTCTAAAAAAAGATGCAAATCGTCTTTGCCGTGAGCAAGACATTAATCAACTTGCGTTGGGCGTGTATTAGGGCCGGATAAGCTCATTATTGGTAAGAATCATGCATATCGTTTACCAAGCAACCCGGGCCTAATAGCATTTCTTGCATATTTATAGAGGTCGACAAGCCTTGTATTGGTGTCAGACTCATATCCATCATTGTCAGAGCATACTGATTAGCCTCTGAATTATTGTCTATATCATTCATCGTCTCGATTTCAAGACCGCAAAACTCCTGAAATGGCTCCTAGAAAGAACGGTCGCCTCCTATTCAATGAAGTGCCACAAGGTATTATGCCATTTCGTCTTGCAGGCAATAGTCTCATATTATTATCGGGTGTCCAGGTTCAAGTTATCCCGTACCTGGCAAAACCACCGTTTACGATGACAGTGAGAAAATTGACCTGGACAATGTCCCTTTGAATGGCGGCTTTCTGCTCAAAACGCTTGTATTGTCTATTGACCCTTATATCAGGGGCAGAATGAGAGATATATCGTTGTTTCCGGTATGTTTTCACTTCCCCTAATGGTGGCATCACAGTCGAACTAATCACACGTATAGTTCGCCTACAAGCCAGGAACACCGTGAGTTTGACTTTTTGTTACGACTCTTCTTTTTTTCTGAACTAGGACGGACATGGAATTGCATTTTGAAGGGTGATAGCTCATGGAGTGGGGGTCGTTGTGCGCTCTGAAGATGCTACTGTCAAAGCAGGCGACCATATCTATGGATTTTTGGGTTAGTGTGTGTTATCAACTCTAAGTGGAATTCAAGCTTTATCATTGTGATGATAGATTTTGTGGAATACTCTGTCAAGCCCAACATGCAGGGTTTAAAAGTCCTCAAGAACGAAGAGAACTTACCATGGTCTGTGTACGTCGGCGTAGCAGGCATGCCTGGTGAGTCATCCGTGGATGCCAAACAGGTGTCGATCAATTAAACATACCTTGTTTTCAGGACAAACAGCATATACTGCTTGGAAGGAATATGCTGATGCGAAGAAAGTAAGCCTGTTGTCTCTACCTCCCATCTTTTCACATAGGTGCTCACCTTTGACTGAAGGGCGAAACAGTATTTGTGACCACAGGTGGAGGTAAGCAGACCATGTCAGCTGACGATATTCGATTTTACCTTATTCTCCTCCTCTCGTCATTAGGCCCTGTCGGATCGTAAGTAAATGATCACAAACTATGTATGCAGAATGACTAACAAAATGTCCCTGCAGGTTCGTCGTTCAACTAGCAAAGGTTGATGGACTCAAAGTCATTGCGTGCGCCGGCTCGGACGAGAAGGTCAAATTCATGAAAGAAATTGGAGCGGATGTGGCTTTCAATTACAAGACCACCCCTGTTGCCGAGGTACTGAAGAAAGAAGGACCGATTGATGTGTTCGTCACTCTCATTACCTTGAAATCATTCTTTTTTGTTGATGCGTTGGCGCTGAACAGTTATTGGGACAACGTTGGAGGAGAAACACTTGAAGCAGCAATAAACGCAGCTTCGACCGGGGCACGGTTGATCGTAAGTCAGTTATACGACATAATTTCATTGCCTTAATACCGTTGCTCCACCAGGAATGCGGCATGAGCTCGGATTACAACAACAGTGTACCATATCATGTCAAGGTAAATTATTCATACCCAGGATCATAATAGACCAGAGATTATTGACGCACTGTTACCAAAATCAATGCTAACTATCTTGTTTGTCCACGCAGAACCTGTTCCAAATCATTCCCAAATCACTCAAAGTCTACGGATTCTCAGTGACAGCGTTGCTTGAGAAATACGTTACCGCTTTCTATGAGGAGGTTCCTAAGAAGCTTGCAAATGGCGAGATTAAGTATACGGAAGACGTCACACAAGGGTTGGAAGGTGCTGGGGAAGCAATATTAGCTGTCCTGAAAGGAACGAATACTGGGAAGAAGGTTATATTGGTTGCCCAAGAGTGAGTGACACGGCAAGTGTTGTACGAGTAGATCACACATTGTGTTGTTGCATACTAGTACTAAGTCTCAAGGATGGAATCAAACTGATTATTTTTTGATTAACTGCCAGTGGCACTTGGATCATGATGCAACATGTAAGCGGTAGAGCATTTGCCATGAAGTGGTATTATCAGTGAAAACTAGCTGTGCTCAGAAATTGTTACGATATAGGCTGGTCCGTATGACAGCCCTTTTTGGGGGAGCTCACCTTCGGTGCCAATAAGCACAGATGTTGCCACAGTCGGGCATCGGCATCAGACGGCATTGTACCCATGATTGGCATCACTGGCATATTTGTGGAGCAGCTTTCTAACAGAAAGACTCAGCCAAAAAAAAAGTGTAGAAACACTTCATAGTAACTGTACACTATTCACACAAAGGCATATGATACTCTTGAATTATGGTACATGGCCCCTAATCAAGATCCAACTTCAACATCACTCATTACAAAACGGCACTGGCTTTTGACTGAATGGTATGTGTGACAACCAAAGTTTTGATACTCTGGCGCACAACTCAGACAAAGCTATAAAGGTAGTGAGGGGAGTGGTTACCCTTTAGAATAGGACCGAGTTAGTTGTGGGTAAACAACAGGAGGACTCGCTGAGGAGTCTCCTTGATCTATTGGGGTATATGTACTACTACATGTTGTTTGTACATGTGTACTGTACAGTTGATGGAGGCGGTGGCTGATGATGTCATAGGGCACAGCCCATGTGACCAGCTTAACTGCGTGAGATACTTGTATCTAAAAATAGAAAACACAGTGCAGCGTGAGAAGTGGAGTTTGAACAATAATGGAAAGTGCCACATGGCACAGGGTGTGAAAACTACAAAAGAAAGTTGAAGAGGAGAATGAAATTTAAAGGTCCGAAATTTGTGTTATTGTAACAGTAGCTTAATGATTTGTCAAAGAGAGGAGGAGCTAGTGCATGAGCTGTTGAGAAACGACTTCAACAACTATATATGTTTTGGTTTTCTTTCTATTTTGTTGCCTTTTTGATCTTTGACTGCAAAGAGCCAGTACATATACCATGGCCCTCCGGGGCAGACCTGGACCCGGATTGGTAACTATCCTGCATTCATAAGTCTCTATCTTCGAACTGTATCGCATTGGGAACAGCAATTGTCGAGAAGTCATGTATAGGACGGTGATAAATGTAAGGATCTACGCCATGAATTCATTTACATTGTACTACGTATTTTGGTCCCATCACGTTGTCCCCACCATTTCCACCCATCTTTAAATGTAAGCTGATGACTGGTTCCAATTTCCGAACAATCTGTGATGTGTGTTGAAGTTGTATATGTGGATGTTCAAGTTCATGTGCTCACTTTTTGATCCCCTGCCTTACCACTTCCCTATCGCACGTCGCATGTGACAACACGTTTTCATGCATTAAGCTTTGGCGGAGACACTAACTCGCCTTGAAGAGATTCGCAAGTACAGGTTT